CTCAGTTTCAACCCTGACTCGTCTCCAATGAGGGTTTCTCTCCCCTGGCCCACTGAGATGCGAGGGATGGCAAGCGTGGGCTCCCAGAGATCTTCCCTCCCATATTTCTCCTTGAAACATGAAAGTATGCGGGACGCCCGTTGACCGCTGGCCTGTTGGTGTCGGTCCCCATGGAGAAGAACAGAGTCTACCGTTGAACCCGCATATGTGCGTTGGTGGCTTCTCCTACATACAACCAGATCGTCCGTTTATTCAAAAATGACGCCTCACCCGTTCCCAGGACAGTGACTTTCTTTTTCGTGTTTTTGTGTTGATCCCCCAGGACGCCGTAAGCACTTGAGTCGCTGCTTCTCTTGTCTCCCCTTCGTCGTCGTGTCTTCTCTCCTCTCGCGATGACGACCATGGGTTACAGTCACGGCGCGTCGCCGCCCACTGGCCGGTGAGATCCTCCAATTTGGCGACACTAACGCACGATAAGGATGAACGGGCGCTAAACATTCTTAGGGGCACCGTTGGTAACAATCAATCGACAGAATGTGAAGCGAAAAAGGATTTCGGAAAGCAAATCGTCCTTGGAGACGCACCCCACGGCTCTTCTACACGCTTGGGAGCCAAGCCCTTGATTTTACGGGCTTCAGATGTTCTATTGTCTTTGTCAGGCAGGTCTATTGACGGTATGCCCTTGACCCTTTGCCTATCTTTGTATTTGGAGCTCTCCGGACGGCAGAACTAACCTGCGCCCCCGTGCCTTGCTAGACGCACAAGACCCATCGCCCGGTGTCAAGAACTTCCAAGAAGCATTGCGCCTGTTTCCCCCATTTCGCGATGACGACGGAGCCACCCTCGGGGCCGTGGATGCCAAATGCCCGGATTGCGACGCCGTCTATTCTTCACAGTATACTGAAGCCCACCCTGCGGATATTATAGACGATGATTGATTTGACCGATCCATAGGAAAGAATTGAAGCAACACTACCTGACCAGGTTCTGCCCGGGTTCTGCTGTCGCTGTTTACGTGATGACCCGAGACCGGTAAAGCCCTCTGCTTGTCACCATGTCGGGGCAGTCCATGCTGATTCGGCGGAATTGCAGTTTGATCACCAAGGGCTACCGCATGGAAAAGCGACTGGTGTCCTTCGATTGTCGACCAATCCGGTTCTTTTGCGGCCACTGCGACAGACATTTCGCCATTGGGCCTGAAGACGAGCGAATCGATAGACCTAGGGGTATGTCTTCGTGGACTTGATTATCTGCGAGTCGTCTAACCCCGTCTGCACAGATAGGCCATCCTTCGTCGATTGCAAGAATTGCGGAGAAAAGTGTAACATCTCGTCAGTTTTATCTAGGATTGGCCTCGTGTCGTCTCGTTCTCACCTGACCTCTGTTCTAGATATGAGCCGATCCTGAACGATCCACGGGACGATACCAGTTTTCGAGACACAACGGCCAGTGCCGCTCGCAGCCGGAGTCCCAGCATCGGCCAGAAGGGTTCTCTAGGGTCCAGGATCTCCATGACGGCCAGTCCGAATGGCGAGCAGACCCTCGCCAAGAGAGCTCGACGGATACGGGACTCGTGGTCTTTCAGGAGTATGCTGCGCCCTTGTCATGCGTTCAAGTACTTTCACTAACCCTATCCAGAAACCTCCCAGAGTGACGAAGACGAGCTGATTGCAATAAGTTTCGCCGGGCTGTACGACCTGGAAAGAAGTAAGGCTTCGTCACGGGCTAAATACTTCAGGATACTAATCCGGCATAGTCCACGCGCCTCATGGTATCTACCAACAGTTCGAAGCGAGCGGATTAGGGGCCCATGTCCTGCAGTCGAATGCGAGTTTCACCTCCAGCGGTAAGAAAATTGGAAACGGCTTCTTATGGTTCAGCATGACACTGATTGCCAACAGTCCCTCACGACCTTATGTTAGCAGACCCCAAGAAGGGAATGTGTGAGGAAGACGAACATCACCGGAAGCATCTAGCGAACATGGGAGACGAGTATATGGAAAATGAAGCTGCGCGCGACCCGCATCCGTCATCACGAAAACAAAGCCTTCTCCAGAGGATTTTTGGGCGCATGAGCCCAAAAGGTACGCTTCTGGACCCTTTACCAAGATCACAAACTTATGTTAGGTCAGGGATATCACGGTCACGCTCCACATCAAACAAAGGCAAACGGTTGATTAAACGAGCCAACACCATCCGGTTCTCCTTAGTGGGGAGGTACCCAAAGAACGAAGACAAGCTGCATACCATCGAAAGCGTACGAAATTCCGTCGATTCGCAGCCCTTGCAGGCGGCCGACAGACAGTCAGCTACTCCTTCGCCTATCTCCGATGCAGAGTACATTGCCGTTCTTCGGGGGAGCCAGAATATCCTTGTTCACCTACAACACCTGCCCGGTGGCGTAGTCATTCACGATGTCTCTGGCCGCCAAAGGATCCTCTCGATAGATGAGGTCGCGCTGCTTTTCTTAAGGGTGAAAGACGAATCGGCTGCGGCAAATATCCATTCCCGAGTCCTCACGACACGACTACGAGCCGACTCGGCGCTAAAGAGCGGAAACGCCCGGGGCGCAGTGGTTGAATATCACGACGCCTTGAGACTGCTTGACAATGCACCGGCCCTCGATGTAGATCGGTTGTCACGGGCATCGATTTTACATTCTCTGGGCCAGGCCTATCGTAACCTCGACCTGCCGGCCGAGTCAGAAGCATGCTATCTGGAATCCTTGGGACTCTACAAACGAACACTGGGAAGAGACCACCCCAAGAACTTTGCCGTCCTACACGATGTCGGTGCCCTCTGCGAACGGGATGGCTATGCCACAGAGGCATCCGCATTATACGAACGCTCATTTGCCGGCCGGCTAAAAATTCTGGGACACAATGCACCTGAGACCCTGAGCAGCATGCAGGACCTTGCTTCTCTGAAGGTCCTCCTCGGAGACGTTGAATCCGCCCTCCTTCTCTTAGAACAGGCGGTCCCCGCCCTCGACACGGTGTTTGGACTACAAAATGCCACAACCCTAAACGCGATGAACCAGCTATCTCTTTTGTATCAAAAACTTGGATTCGACAAGGAGTCTCGTACAATATGCGGCCGAACAATCCCCCACTGCCGCACCTTCTTCGGCATCACCAGCCCTATCACCAGAGAAGCCGTGGTGCGATATCTACAAACCTCGGAGAATTTCGACTTCCCCCCTGAGATCAAGGACATCCTTGATCAATACCAGCGCTCCCAGGATCCGGATGCCCTTCGGGTGATCCACCGCTTGGGCAGGTCCTATATGGATGCCGGCCTCAACCGCGATGCGTCCGAGCTCTTCGAGACATTGGTGGAGGACTTCCTCGTCGTAAAAGGCCCCGAAGCCCCCGAGACATTCGATGCTCTCAGCGCACTGTGTGTCTCCCGTGAACACCTTGACTCTATCGACAAGGCTATCCTCGCGTACAAGCAACTTGTCCACATGGCCAGTCGCACCCCGGAAAAGCATCAGTCCCGGACACGAATCAGCTACTCCGAGAAACGGATCGCGGCACTGAATCGACGGCGGGAGTTACTGGCCGCAGAACGCAAGGAGTGGGGATTGCACGAGCCAGGACGGTGCGAGCACTGTTCAAACTCCACCACGGTCCTATGCAATAGTAAGCCCTCCCTTTCCCAGTACCTGATTTCCTCCCATCACTGACCTCCCACCAGCCTGCAAGATCTTCCGCTTCTGCAGCGATCAATGCCACAGAAATGGCCTGGCGGCCCACCTCCCCCACTGCATCCCATCCGTCTCGCTGCGCGAGTCCAAGTCTCTCGCCGTGAAACCAAAATGCCCAACGGCAGCGCGCCAACAAGCCATCTCCAAAATCCGACACTTGGACAGCTCGCGTCCCATTAACATCACCGCAAGCTACACATTCTACCTCGACCCGCGCAGCTTCACCACCTTCCGCATGAAGCTCAACTCAGACACCAACACCCTCATCCTCTTCTCCCTTGACTCAGACATCCAGTACGCGATGGTTGACAATCCAACCTCAGCCCCATCGAGCAAGCAGTCTCCTTCCCCAACGACAGCAGCAGCAATAGCATCAGCAACAGCTACATCCTCAACAACCACCAGCGACAGCACCATCTCCACAGCAACAATCCCCTGGCTAACCCCCGACCGCCAAGAAACCATCACCTACGTGCCCGTCCCATCCGCAAACCCACTCAGCCCAATCCCAAGCCCACTCCCCAGCCCACACTACCCCAAACCCAGACCCTTCGCCCCAGCACAGCCCCCCACCACCACCGGGGCGCGCTACGTGCTCGTCACCCCCGGCAAGGAAATGTTCCGCACGGCGATCGACAGGCGGATAGGCGTGCGGGCCGGCGACGGCGAAAAAGAACGCTTCCGCTCATTGCAAGGCCCGGACACCGAGATGATCGAGTACGCTCAGGGTTTGGGCCTGCTGCTCCCGGGGTATCTTGGGGAGGCGTTCATGTATGTCATTGAGTGGGTGTGGAAGTGACTGCATTGTATTTTGTATTTTTTTTTTTTTTTTTTTTTTTTGCCTGTTTTGTTTTGTGTGTTTTTCAATGTTTATTGCTGTTGGACTGTTGGTCAAATCGGGTTGATTGGGTTGGATGGATTGATTGATCGGATTGGATTGGATCGGGAGCGGCTTATTGTATAATTTATACTAACTACACTGCTGAAGGCAGTAGATAGATAGACCGGGCTAGGATGGGTATATCCTAGATACATCATTGTTTAGTTAGTCAGATAGCTCTGTCTTCTTGTGTGCTGGGCGCACATACAGTCTTTAATTCTTTCTTTCCTCTTCTCTGATTTTCCCAATTACCTGCTATACATTGGTCGTGTTAGATAGTCTCATACCCATCCCTCTTAAGACAAATCCCATCTACCATAATAGATAATTCGATCGCAGTGTGAGGAAACGATACAATCAGGTCTACTGAGTAGACATCAAGAGTCATGCCTGCAGAGTCTATTCAATTCCCAAACTAAGGTATGCAGGTAAGTAAGTAGGTATCAATACACGGAAGCTTGCCCTTCCATCCCTTCCGTCCAGCTGCCTTCTTGCTCTTTCTTCTCTTTTCATTTGTACATGGCACACACAAGACAAGTTGGTAGTGTATTCTCTATCACTGTACACTGCTTTTGTTTCTTATTTCAACATTGTTTTCGTGAATTTGTTTCGTTTTATAGAGGCGGTTAGTCGGGTTGGTTCGCTGAGCCTGTCTTGTCTCGTCTCGAGGATTTTTTTGTCTATCTTTCTTTCTTTCGTCTTTTTTTTGTGTCGTCTGTTTCTTTCCCCTGGGTTTGAGTATAAGAAAGGGAGAGGATACAAGATGGAGAGATAGAGGGGGGGAAAGGAGGGGGAAGAGTAAAGGGCAAAAAGTTTATAAAATACAAATTCTAAACACCGGTTATGCAAAATCTCCTCGTGCACGGAGAGGAGGATCGTAAACCAGAACCTCCACCTCCTGAAAAGAAAGAACGATGAAAGGAAAGGAAGGGAAGAGGAGAAGAAGAAGAAGAAGAGAAAAAGAAAAAGAAAAGTAAATGCCTTTCGGCACAAACAAAAGAACGTAAATCTCGTCGAAAGTCGTAAACGTTACTGCTACTACCCCCCCATCTTAGACCCCAATCGGTGTGTCTGATCTATCATCCCCTGGTATATAAGTATATAACAGAATAATTGATAGATTGCTTGCGTGATACATGATCCATCACGGAGCCGGGGCTTCGTTTTCGTCGTCGTCGTCGGATTTATAGTTATCGCTATCGCTGCCGCTCTCATAGCCGTCCGCTTCGAGGGACCGGCTGCGGATGCCGAAGCTCATGACGAACCCGACGAAGGATACGACAGCGAAGACGCCGAAGGCGAGGGCTTCGCCCTTTTTGATGCGCGTCGCGAGGGAGAAGAGACCGCCTGAGAGGAAGGGACCCACGGCGCGGCCGGCGGCGGAGAGGGTCTGGGCGAGGCCGTTCAGCGCGCCAAGGACGGCGTGGTCGGGGGCGGAGTTTGTGATCTGTTGATTGTTAGCATTTTATTTAATACTCATTTGTGGGGGGTCAAAGTGGGAGAGATAAGAACATACCAATAAGAGAGCACTGGTTAGACCGCCCACGGACGCGATGGTCTTGATGAGCAATACGACACAGAGCTCGACTGCCATCCAGACGGTCTTGGCCGTGATATGGCCGGCTTTACCGTCCTGGCCCTTGTAGCCGATGAACGGCATCAATATAAAGGAGATGACGAATCCCAGGAGCCCCATCCGATAGGACCAGCGGTTGCCCATCTTCTCGCGCAGCTTGCCGAACAGGCAGACCTGGAAAAGGATGGTCACGAGCCCGGAAAACCCCTGCGCGAGGCCGATCTCCTGGGGCGTCAAGCCACGGCCGGTTGGGGGAGCTGCCTGCGAGAAGATGGGGAAGAGCGCGCTGAAGGCGACGTTGCAAAGCGCGAAGATCAGATACGTTGCGAGGAGCAGGACAGTGTCGCGGTTGAGGATCTCGCTGCTGGTTAGGGACTCGCGGGGCGTGTCTTGCGGGTTGGATGCCTCGGACGCCGAGTCTAGCTCACTGTCGTGATCGGAGCCGGCTTCGTCGGACGCTCGCATCGGTCGATAGCCGGCGATGTGCGGCGGCTCCACGAATCGCGCCCGCTTCGCGTAGCTGACGAATTGCCAGATCCACGAATAGAGGGCGTGCACCCTCTCGTGGAGCAATTTCGGGAAGGCTTCGGCATCATCCAGGCATTCCTCCATAAAGATCGCCGTCAAGACAAAGTCGACCACGAGCATCCCCGCCACCACCAGATTGGGGGCGAGATACGGGTACGGATTCGGCGCGTGGCTTCCCCACGGCAGATTAGGGAAAATGAGCAAGCCTCCCAGGAGGGGCCCCGTGATGGCCCCGATCCCGTAGAGAACGGGAAGATAGGTGAAGGCTTGGGACTGGTTGCTCCGGTCCGTGATCTCACCCAGACACGTAGACACCAATCCCTGGTTGCCATTCACGATTCCCATCAAGGCCTGGACCGCAATGGCCTGTGTCAACGTCCTGCAGAAGCCCCACCCGACAAAGGCCACAGCCGTGAGGATGGTCCCCAGGAGGATGACGGGCTTGCGGCCCACCCGATCAGACAGCCAGCCCCAGAAGTAGTTGGTGACGAACTGCGCGATGGCGAACGCGGTCGCGATTGTCCCCACGTAAATCCCAACCATCCGTGGTTCCACCTCGGGGAACGAAGACGCCATGTCGGGCAAGTAGGGGCTGACGGAATTGAAGGCCGTCTGTTCGCACAGCGAGATCATCGCCAGCACCGCCATTTGCATCCTGGGTAGCGGGGAGTGTGACGGCGGGTGGTCATCGTGCGGGTCGCTCTGCGGGTGGTTCGACTGGCCATCGGAGGATGCGGACTGGCGCGAGGTGGGCCTTCCTCGGCCTTTGGGTGGCGGGGTGTCGAAAGTTTGGTAATGTAGAGTAGACGAGTGTCGCCGAGCGAACTGGTCTCTCTCGGTAGGTTTCATGGCGACTGTTCGTAGTGCGTATAGGCAAGTTTCAAACCCTTAGTTGTTGGCGACTCGAGGCTCCACGGCCGCCTCCAGGGTGATGGTTGGAGGGGCCCCGGACCACGGAGACAATTAGACCTGTCCGCTCAAAGGTACGAAGAAGACGATTCAGCAAGAGGACTAGGAAACCGCAGGAGAGCAAAGAGCGCGGCAAGTGAAGATTGAAGAAAGAGAGAGAGAGAGAGAGAGAGAGAAGAAGTTGGCGATGCGGCGATCAAATCGAGACCAGCGAAGCGTCATGGAATGCGGAGATGATGTAAGATATGACTCAGCCGTATTTACAGGTACACAACTTGTATAGCATCAACTACAGAGTATTCAAGGACGACATATTGTTTGGTATAATCATTCAATTATAAAACTCCAGAAGAATATCACTTCATCAACAGGTTCACTGCCCAGGGAACACTCAATCCTCGCAGATCCCCATAGTGCTGGCCGACTCCCAAAAATACAATGGGGATCCCCGTCGCGTGGACCATGCTCACCAATGTACCAACCATGTCGCCCACCGTGTCGCATTTACTGATGATGAAGCCATCCAGGTTCCTCCCCGTGCCAAAGGCTTGGTTGAAGTTGCGCGCCTGCATGACACTGTCCGTGCCCACCAGAGCCTCGCCGACCATGAAGATCTTGTCGGGTTGGGCGAACTTGGCGAATTTCTCCAGGGACGACATCAACCGCTGATCGTTGTGACGACGACCGGCCGTGTCGATCAGGACCACGTCGAACTGGTGGGCGGCTCCGTACTCCACGGCGTCCTTGGCCACGTTGGCCGCGTCCTTGCCGTACCCCTTCTCGTACAATTCCACGTCGCCGGCGGTCTCGCGCGCGCCGAGCTCCTTCAGGTTGCGGGCGTGCACCCGCAGTTGCTCCACGGCTCCCGAACGGAACGTGTCGCAAGCGGCGATCAAAACCCGGTAATTGTTCTGCAGCAGGAAATAGCAGATCTTGCCGAGGTTGGTCGATTTGCCCACGCCGTTCACCCCCACGATCGAAATCACGTACGGCCGGGGAGCGGCGCCTTTGCTCGTGGGCGACGTGGTGGCGTCGATCTCCCGCAGCAGATCCAGCGATGACGTGGGGGTGAGGATCTTGCGCAGGGACGACTCCATCGCCAGGCGCAGCGCCGCATCCACGCTTTGGAAGTTGGCCGTCTTCTTGCCCACCAGCTCCCGCTGCACCCCGTCGCACAGACGCACCGCCGCCTCGCGCGCAACGTTCTTCCGCAGCAGGTGGTCTTCCATCGTCTTCAGCGGCTTCTCCAGGTCCGCTTCCGTCAGGACCTTGCCGCCGACGATGCCGCGGAGCATGCCGCCAATCGCACTGAAACCGGAGCCAACGAAGCCCGTCGAGGACGTCTTGGATTTCTCCTGGTCGGCGTTCTCCAGAATCGAATGGACCTCATCGCCCAGATCCTTGAGAACGAACTGGCCCTTGCCGGTCCGGCGGCCCCAGGAATCCTGGGAGACCGCCTCCACCGCCGGTGCGGCCGCGGCGTCGTCCGCGGGGGCGGAGTAGTCGAGCACCGTGCCGTCGTCCTCGTCCGCAAGGCCATCCGCATCCCACCTCCGCATTTTCTTGGCGCTCTTCGGCGTCGCCTTTCCTTTGCGGACACTTTCCTCCCCGGAGGAAACATTGGCGCTGTTGGCGGCCTTGCGCGCACGGCGGGAGACACGACCGCCCGGACCGCCTTTTGCGGTCAGAATATGGCTCGTCACCGGTGTCGATGATCGAGAAATGTCCGGAGACTGAGGGGGGGTACTCTCATCGGAGGTCCCACCCGGCGCAGCATCAAGCTGCGCCTTGAGGAGGCCGGGGATGGGAGGAGGCGGGGGACCCCCGTTGTCGGACGAGACCAACGGGTCTTTCTTGTCATCCTCGCTGGTGATCACTGCCCTTGGCACCACGCCCGTGTTGTCCTCCAGCTCGCGGACCTGCTGGTCGAAGTACCTGTCGAAGGGGTACTCGGTGATCCTCACACGGTTACCCAGGAGCTTGTCTTTGTAGAGGTCGATGAAAAGGGTCGAGATGTTTTCCAGGAGTCGGTCGATCCATCCCAGATGAAGCAAGGACTGATACACGGCCTGTCGCAAGATGAGGTCAGACTAGCGGTCGAGGATTGGGGTGGCGCCGGAGTCGCATTACATACCACAAAGATGAGGTTGAATTCCTTGACTCGCTTCCACTTCAAGGTGTATTTTTCCTTCTTGTAAGCAGGAGAGAGTCCAGGAACCTGGGACTGCTGCGTCTTCTCCTCGATAAAAACGTCGTTGATCAGACTGTTGACCACATGGGACCCCACAGGAGCGTAGGATTTGGACCAGAGGACCACCCCTGAGGTGGTGAAAATTTCAAACGTTTCCAACATGATGCGATTAGAGATTATAAAGTGTATAGAGGATATTTAAAGGACGACGTAAGAAGGAGAAAGGAGGCGAAAGATGTGGGGAAAGTAGATGACAGCGTAATTTCTGGATGGTTTGCGGGCGGAAGCCGAAGCTTGTCGGACTCGGGAGCCACGTTACTTTCCTGCTCTCTCTCTCTCTCTCTCTCCCCTGCTGATCTTCTTCTTCCCTTCTTCTTCTTCTTCTTCTTCTTCCTCCTCACCCTACCCCATAACACTTTTTTTTTATTTAGCAATAAATCAGCTGCTGCCGTCTCCATCTTTAAGTGGATTCGTGTTGTATCTGTCCATTTCACCCATTCTAGTTGATCGATCCAAAATGTACCGCCAGTCGTTCGCACCACCCCCGGCGCAGTCACCTCCACTTCACCATCCAGTGCCTCAGCATGTGTCTACCGTGCCTATGATGCGTTCGCCCCCTCCGCCAGCTCCACAACAGCCTCAGATGGCGGGTTATGGCAATCCGTACCAGCCAGCCCCGGCGCAGGGTGGAAGTGGGACGTACTCCGAGGACTTGGGGGGGTTTATGAATGAACCCACGGCGCAGATGGGCTTTCAGATGGGAAAGACGGCCATGGCGGCTGGTCAGGATTACATGGAGCAGAACGTAAGCGATTTCACTCGTACGAGCGTGAGGGAGGTAGTGGATGGTCCCCAACTGACGTGCATTCTCTCCAGATCAATCGCTATGTGTCGATCCCCGCTCTCAAGCATTACTTCAACGTCTCCAACTCCTACGTCCTCAACAAATTGGGTCTGGTGCTCTTCCCCTGGCGGCACAAACCCTGGTCTCGCCAGCAAGCCCGCCTGACCACCGCTTCGACCGGACCCAATGGCCAGATCTCGCAGCAGCAGTACTCGTCCATGTTCCTCCCGCCGCGCGATGACCTCAACTCGCCCGACATGTACATCCCGGTGATGGCGCTGGTGACCTACATTCTGCTCTCTGCGATGCTGGCCGGATTCCGCGGCCACTTCCACCCGGAGCTTCTCGGTTCGATCACCACGACGGCCATTGCGGTGATGGTGTTTGAGATCCTCTGTCTGAAGCTGGCGATGTACATCCTCAGCATCAACAACGAGTCACAGCTTATGGACCTGGTGGCCTACTCGGGCTACAAGTTCGTCGGGATCATCGCGACGCTAGTGATGTCCGAGGTGCTGACCCCGGGGCGGGGGACCAACAGCTGGGTTGGGTGGGTGGTGTTTATCTACACATTCTTAGCCAATGCGTTCTTCCTGGTAAGTCATCCTGAACGGGTGTGAAACGTATTATAACGTCCTCCGCTAACCTGGCTCCCAGCTCCGTTCTCTGAAATACGTCCTCCTCCCGGATTCGACGAGCGACACGTCGATGCGGACGGGCTCGATGCACACGGTGGCGCGGTCGCAGCGCAACCGTCGCACGCAGTTCCTATTTGTCTATGCCTACGTGGTGCAGTTCGTGTTCATGTGGGTGTTGAGTCGGGAAGGGCCGTCGACGCAGGGAGGTGGTAGCGGGGGATCCTCGTAGGGGTTGATAGCATATAATGATATTAGACAGACCTCACGACAGGATACGGCTGGGTCTTTATTATAGCTTTCTTTTACTTATTCTTTTTTTCAGACATTGCGTCGCAGCAAGAGGTAGTCGTAGTTGTTGTAACTACATAAGCATAGTCTTACATAGTTCAGCGAGGAAAGCCATTACGTAGCACTCTTCCACATTTACGCCGAACCACAATACGTCTTACAAGAAATAAAATAGAGAAATAAACATAATCATATCATTAATATCTAAGAGTATCATATAAGGCAACCTATTCAACCACGTTAGCACACATCTCAAAAAGCGATGAGTAAAACAATATGGTAGAAGTCAAGCCCTCAGAGATCTTGGTGATAATGCTAGTAATATCATTGCCAGAGGCATCATATACTATCTAGGCAGTGCAAAGTTGTAATCATAGGCGGGGGGGTAGAAAATAACAGAGAAATACATACCATCAGAGGGTATTCAATGCGATGGGTGAGTTGGAATCGAGTATTCCAGGCCTATAACATCTTCAACATGTTAGTCCAGGACACCAAATGACGATGACGATAACAAGGTGGTGTGGAAGTTGAAATCAGAATATGTAAGAATTAAATATCATGCGTCAGTGCTGCATTGAAACTCCGGCGAGAGCTCACAGACACTGGGTCAATCGCAAATTACGGCATCATGTAAGGATAGGATTGGGATATAAGTCAGACGTACCAGTGTTAGTTCCAGACAGACAGTGCTGTAACTGTGGTTAGTGAGCATTTGTGTTGTGTTCAGTATTGAAGGGTTGAAGAAGGTCAAGATGAACTTATATAGAGGAAGAGAAAAAAAAAAGAGAAGAACTAGAAGAATCCGACCGGAATGGAGGAATGTTTTCTCCGTCAGGCAGAACAGTCTAAGCCTGATAGGGTATAGGGTGTAAACAGCCCTAGACCCCCGACGGAAACCGGCTGCGACTGGTGAGTTAAGCGAGAGCGGCCGCCGTAATAGGGGACTCGGGAGCAAAAAAAGGTCCAATTCGTGTGTGGTGGATCGGCTCACTGGGCAGAGAAGTTGTTTGTGCATTTTCGACCTCTCTCGGTGATTCGACTTCGACAACCCCGACCCCTTACGACAACCACCATTTTCACCCACCGTCCCGGAGTCTGTCGACCGTGAGTTCCCTATCGTTCTGGATTATTGCTGCGGAAAATTGTTATTCGTTGGAATTTTTTGAAATCAGAAAACTGAGACCGTTGCGACGACTTATAGGAAGCCTTCGCCATGGCCGATATCGATGTCAAGGTTGCCCAGTGGAAGCTGGTTGAGGTTGGCCGCGTGGTGCTGATCCGCCGCGGTCCCTACATTGGCAAGCTCGCCGCCATCGTTGAGATTGTCGACCACCGCCGTGTACGTTTCTGAACCTTGATTTGATGTTTTGCGGGTTTTTTCTTATTATGGGGGAACAATGGACGGGAACATGGAGAGATCATCAAGAGAATGGATGCGATGGACAAATGCGACAGTGGAAAAAGGGAAAATGGAACCGGTTTCTAATACACATATAGGTCCTCATTGACGGCCCCTCGACCGAGCAGAACAAGATCGTGCCCCGTCACGTTCTCCCTCTCGCCCACGCCACCCTCACTCCCTTCGTCATCCCCCAGCTGCCCCGCTCGGCTGGTACCGGCCCCGTGAGAAAGCTGTGGCAGAAGAACGAGATCGATGGCAAGTGGGCCAAGAGCAACTACGCCCAGAAGACTGAGCGCACCGAGCGACGGAAGAACCTGAACGACTTTGAGCGCTTCAAGGTCATGAGACTCAGGAAGCAGGTACGTGTGGATTGGATGGATCCGGTGGATCGTGGCGATCATGGGGTTTCGAGGAGGTGACAATGTTCGATTCGACGACTTCGTTTGGACGGCACGAATTGGATATCGTCACCTCCAACCCATGCGCATCCGTTGGTCGTGGAACATACTAACGAATACAGGCTCGCTTCGAGGTCCAAAAGTCCCAGGCTAAGCTCCGGGCGGCTGCTCCCAAGTCATAGATGGATTTCTTGTTATGAGGGGCTCGGTGCATAGTGTGAAAAGGGTGCCTTGGGACGGGTTTGTTTTAAAACAATGCTGAGGAATTTATTTGATATCAGCAAACCAACACGCTGTATGCATACCACGGACAGCATAAAAATCATTCGAGACCTTGATATCCTATATCCTAACCAGATGGGGGATTTCCACTCGTACATGAGCCGATGGCATGTCTTTTCTGGACTATTGCACTACCTATCAATATCTGGAGATACGATCTAGACAGGGAGAGTGGAACCATCCATGATATACGATCAGAAATGGAGTACTCGCCGTAATTATGAACAAAAGGGCAAATATCCAGACATGCGTAAAGATGTAGACCGATCAGTCAATATATTAATTAACTCTATATATCAACTATATCAACTATATGAATTATCTCGATCTGCTGGGTTAATGGCGGTGGTAGACTTGGACATAGTGTCTATACTTGGCGGTTCTGTGCGGGAAACCCCCCCTCTCCCCCAATCAGCTCGCTAACGATTTTCGGCCGGATCTCCTTCACACAGCGTTGCGACCTTCAACCCCCAACCAGGCCCAAAATTCCCCTCTCATCCACCACGACCTAATATCCTGTGTTCAGGTAGGTAAATCCGTTCTGTCCATCCGTCCGAAATGGCTGCTTCGGTTGAATTCCTGGATTTCTCGCCATTTCGATGTGGGGAAGCGCTGCCGTGACGTTGTGTGTTGTGTGTGTGTGTTGTGTGTGTGTTATGTGTGGGAACATCTCCCACTCATTTCCCATCCACACGACCGACCACAACCTCGTCAACTCAGCCCCCCATCCTAATGCCAATTGCTGACCGTCTGGACAACCCGATCTAGGCTCTCATCTCTCACATTCACAATGGCTGACCCCCGCGTTGAAGAGCTCCCCAACGAGGAGGAGCCCAAGACCACCGTCGAGGATGCTGGCAGCAGCTCCGAGTCCGAGGCCGGCGACGAGCCCAACATCCCCGCCGGCGCCGCCGTCACCGTTCACTCTCGCAACGAGAAGAAGGCCCGGAAAGCCATTGGCAAGCTCGGTCTGAAGCACGTCCCCGGTATCACCCGTGTCACTCTCCGCCGCCCCAAGAACGTATGGACCAGTCTTTTCTCCCGGTTTCTCTTTATTTGTGCGACGCTGCTTGCGGTTTGCCTGGGATGAATGGCAGCGAGTTGAATGCGACGCAGTTCGATTTGAAGCAGGGGAGCTAATAATCTTGAAACGACAGATCCTCTTCGTCATCAACCAGCCCGACGTCTACCGTTCCCCCTCCAGCAACACCTGGATGTAAGCTTCTCAATCACGCTCTCTACCCTGGATAAACCTAACGAAAAAAAAAAACAGCATCTTCGGTGAGGCCAAGATCGAGGACCTGAACTCCCAGGCCCAGGCCTCCGCTGCCCAGCAGCTGGCCGCCGCCGAGGCTTCCCAGGGCGAGCACGCCGGTCACGACCACGACCACGACCACGACCACGGCAAGGGCAAGGCCCCCGAGGTTGAGGCCAAGAAGGAGGAGGAGGAGGATGACGGCGAGGAGGTGGACGAGGGTGGTCTGGAGGCCAAGGACATCGAGCTGGTCATGGCCCAGGCCAACGTGTCCCGCAAGAAGGCCGTCAAGGCGCTCCGGGAGAACGACAACGACATCGTGAACTCGATCATGGCTCTCAGCATATGATATCTCAAATAATCCGGTTTGGACGGTGATTTGTACGCGATCCGGGGTTGTCGGTCTCTCTCTAGCCTGCTGGCAGGATGGACTTTGGGGTTGCAGTCGCCTCTGGCAGAAACCCGTCGTGTAAATCATTGAAAAAAATAGTTTGCGAGAATCAAAGAAGCCTGAATGTTCATCTACACTATCTGTAATATTGATTGTAATATATCTGTATTTATTTGGCTTATTGAGTAATTGTAGGATACACATGTAGTATGAGTTCAGTCCGATGCCCCCCGAAGATGCCTGAGGCAAGATTCCTCGGGACACGGGAAGTGTGCAGTCACGTGAGGGAACCCCCGACTTCCAAACCTTGCCGACACTCCAACCGTTCTCTCCGTTAAGCAATCGACTCCCCTCTATTCCACCACCCATTCCTCTATCTTCTTCACAATGGCTGCCGTATGTTTCCCTGAGATTCTCCAGTTGCATCTGTTTTTTTGGAACCCCCAATGTTGCATCTCCGTGTTTGGTTATATAAACTGGGCCATCCCACTAACCGATCCCGAATAACAGCGTAGCGCCGCTACCAAGATCGACTGGACCAAGGTGACGGGGTCCCTGGGCCTCCGTGGCCAGACGGCCACCTCGCTGCAGGCGTTCAAGAAGCGCAACGATGACGCCCGCCGCAAGGTCACGGCGCTGTCCGAGCAGCCCCAGACCGTCGACTTCGCCCACTACCGCAAGGTGCTGAAGAACCAGGCCGTCGTCGACCAGATCGAGAACCAGTTCAAGACCTTCAAGCCGGCCACCTACGACGTCAACCGCCAGATCAAGGCCATTGATGCCTTTGAGGCTCAGGCTGTCCAGAGCGCCCTCGACACTAAGGGTAAGGTCGAGGCTGAGCTGCAGAATCTCCAGAAGACGCTGGAGAACATTGAGACTGCTCGGCCGTTTGATGAGCTTACTGTTGTATGTATCCCTTTTTCCGCGGGAAATCTTTTCTACGGGAGATCCTTTCGTTTATGTGATGGGATGATGCTGATTCTTCATAGGACGAGGTCGCTGCTGCTCAGCCCGAGATCGACGAGAAGACTTCTTCGCTGGTCTCCAAGGGCAGATGGATGCCCGCTGGCTACAAGGTGCGTTCTTCTTCTTCTCTCCAGGTTGGCTGGCTGATGCTAACGTTTTGTAGGAGCGCTTCGGCGATATGTCTGTTGTCTAAGCTCGTATCCCTTGTGCCCGATATCTCCGTCGACCGGGTCTCACCTGACAACGTCTCATTTGAGACATGGCCAGATCGAATACCCTGGCGTCTGGGGGTGTGATCTGGTGGATGGATTGTGTATAGAAACATTGTTCAATTTAGAAGATGTCTTCGTTCTTCTTTTAGTTGCGGATTCTAGGGTGGTGTAGTTTCGTAAAGAGAAGTAGGAAATGCATAAAAAGAGAACAGGAAAGGAAAGAAGGAATATAACATAGTATGTGTATATCTTTCTAGTTTCTATCCTACAACGCTGGCGGTTATAATATGCTGTAATATTCATACTCAAAATCTGATATATATTTTTGGCGGCAAATCGGGGCAGTTCGTCCCACTTCCTACTTCTTCACCTCATCCTTCTTCATCTCATCTCATCTTTCTCTTCCTGAGATCCCACCTATTCATTATACGACATTACCTTACACCGCTCAGTAGGTCCACTGGTTTAATTACTATTACATACTGGCATCTACAGAATCATTCTCTAAAACCGGTGGTTATCGCTGATCGCTCGTTATTGTCGTCCCCCGCACTAAAAGACTCGACCGAAACCACCCCTCGCTCCGGCGATGATTGTGAAGAAACCGGTGCCCAGTGCGACCGGATCCCTGGAAATCCTTCTCGGTCCATCGATTGGTGCATGACCCGCCCCGCAGATCGAGGTCCTGGTAGCATGGACACACCTTAGTGGGGACATCTTGGATCTATCTTATCTCGAACACAAGACGTCCTCTCGAACACATCACGAACAGCATCGAAAATGACACAAGTAACGACCCCACCGGCGCGCGCCCGGTCCCCGTTAGAACGTCTGCCCGTGGAGATCGTCCAGACCATCTTCCTCCACAGCCTCGAGTTCAACCTACCACGGGCCTCGTTCGAGCTCTCCCAGAAGCTCTCCGACCCAGTCCTCTACAGCTGGCTCATCCGCCTCGCCTTCAGCAGCGCCAACGAAAGCGCCAGCCAGGGATTCTTCAGTCCCGACTTCCTCCCCCCACCCCTGCACTTCTACGCGCTCTCCAAGCCCGCAAGGCGGGACCTGCAAAACGCCATCCTCAACTGCCGCTGGTGCACGCTACCCCTCATGCGCAAGTGCCAACGGGACTACGTCGCCCACGCCATCCGCCACCAATGCCAGCACCTCGACTTCTCCCCAGACGACCAGCACACGCTGCGCAACCTAGGCAGCTACTTCCACAGCCCGGCCGACCACCACAGCGACTGCGGCGTCAAAGGCCGCCGCGGCAAAGGCGACCTCGTCCTCCGCGCCCGCGCCCACCACACAGACGAGGAATGCAAAGTCGCCGTCTGGTTCCACTTCGGCGCCTTGCAGATGCGCCGCCCCGGCCGCATCTACACCGAACACGACCTCTTCCGACTCCCCAGCTGCGCAGTCGACACCCCCGCCCGCATGCCCGACAAGCTCCTCCGGCCGCCGTGGACGCCCGCACGGCTCGAGTTCCTCCAACTCCTGTCCATGGACGCCTACATCGACGAAGACACATCGCACGCGCGGTCGCGGCGCGTACTGCGGCAGACGATCCGGGACCGCCAGTTGGAAGCCTTCCGCCGCTTACTGGGGCTGTATATCCGGTCGCGCGAGTACAAGTACCCGGTGCTGTGGCCCGTGTCGACGAACCATTTCCACGTGGCACTCAAGTACGCGGATCCTGGCGGGGGGCCGGATCCGTTTGTGCGGTTGCTGGTTGAGCAGCGGTGGGGGACGGTGCCGGCTGGGGATGTGGTGTTCAAGGAGAGGTTGTTAGCGCGAGTGGGTTGATCTATATTATATTATGTACCTGAGGATGTGTTTCGAGTGAAGATACGATGGAGCAAGTGGATAGACATGTTTACAGCGATATATAAAGCGAGGATATCATACAATCATCATACAGGGGAGCAAAAAAAAAAAGCATAACAATAACGAATCAATCAAATCATAACTTATACTCATACATCGTGAAAGAAAGAAAAAAACAATACAACAAAAGGATATCAAACAACAAAGCAAAACCAATCCACCAACAAAACAATCAAAGACCCAATTCAACAAATCAAAGAGTAATCACCGAAAGAAAGACTCAAGCAAGAAGATCATATCCTCGACCTCCTAACCCCGCCCCTCCTTCTCCGTCCTCCACAATACCCACACGTCAAGCAAGTAATGAGGACGTCGAAGAGCGACACCACGCCGTTGATGATGGCCATGCAGATGGAGCCGACGACGTGCACGATGCCCATGAGGCAGGCGCCGATTGAGCGGAAGACTCCTGCGATCTTTTTGTTGGTTAGTATTTTTTGTATTTTGCATATATGGGTATTAGGGGAGGGAGACGTACGCAGGATACGACGGCGCCCATTGTGGATTGGTTGGGTTATTTAATTGGTTTGGGATGTTGGTTGGATTGAGAGGTTCGATGTCTTCTTTCCAAGTTTTTGAGAGGTTGATCGGTTGAGGATATCGACGTTGAGAGATAGGAGAAAGTAAAGAGAATTATTGGCCCAGTTTAGAGCTGTTGAATCTGTATGCCAATCTTGGAACGAGCGAGGGTTGTTCTTCGGTCGTTCTTGTATTCAGTCTGAAGCAAGAGGTTGAATCTGGTTGCGATTCACTTTGTGTAGGGATACTGTCTGTAGGGATATCGTCTCTAGACGAAGCTGTAGTAGAAGAGGATGAAGAGGAAGAAGAGGAAGCCGTAGCATGGACAGAATCGTGAAACGGACGCATGGTGATAGCCTGTCTATTTATGCCCTGGTCGAAATAAGACAATGAATATCCCTTGTCAAGATCGTCTGCAATCATCCAAAAATAAAAAGAATCCAGTCAAATCAAGTCCAAGAGACCTCCATTATCAGGGAGAAACAAGCGACGATCGCCGTCCCAATGACGGCAGTGGGACAGTCGCACTGATGGTGGTATGTAGAAGGTCGGGTCACTTTCAAGCTAGAGTTTGCTTGTCAGGGCGGGTTGCGATCCAATTAGGGAGGGCCATGTCTGCAGCCACGTCGTCATTCATCATCATACCTCGTTCCTTGATCGTGTTTTTTTCCCTGGATAACATCATTTGGTCTGGATTGAACCGTGGTTGCGGTTTCAGGTTGTTGTTGATCTGGGTATGATGTCATCATGTCTTTCTTCTTGGGAGAGATTACACTAGCCGTCTTGGGGATAGCGCATGTCCAAAATGGACTAGTGCCAGGGCTGCATCACGTGGTAATATATGCCCTGATCACGCCTCGGTCTGAGCTTCCGCCAATCAGATCTATCAGATCTTCCCTTTCACTTCACCTTCAATCCCTCTGTATATCTCTTCCCTGCCAGGTCAGGCAGGACAATGAACCTCACCCCCATCCACATCCGCGGCCGCCGCAAACGACCCCTCCCAGAAGAATCCCCCGCCCCCATCAAGTCTGCCAAACGCACCGGCGGCCGCCCACGCCTCACCCCCCAAGCCCTCTTCCACTCCTCCCAACACAGCCAATCCGCGCGCCGTCGCGCAGAACAAAGCCAAAGCGAACAACACGGCAGGAAGCGCAAGAAGCTACACTGCTACTCCCACCTGGAGTCCCTTCCTGTCGAGCTCCTCGAGCGCATCTTTCTCTATGCGCTGAATCTGCAGTTGCCGCGCGCGTCGCCTGCGCTGGGCGCGGCGTTGTCGCGGGAGGGGGTTTATCGTGTTTTGATATTGACGGCATTTTGGGATGATCATTGCGATGGAGATGATGGTGAAGGGGTGGGGGGCACGGGCGCATGGAGGTCTATTTCCAGAATGTTCCGTCCGATGGATGCTCCCCCGGTGTTGAGCTATGCGGAGCGCAGCGCGCTGCAGGTGGGTGTGCTGCGGTGTCGCTGGTGTACGGTGTCGAGGGTGATGGCGCAGGTTCCCGCGTTGACGAGACTGGTGGTGCTGCGTCGGTGGGTTGGGGCGGGGGTGCGCATGGACAAGGCGCAGGCGGAGGAGCTGGAGAGGGCGATGGCTGGGATGTCGCGGCAGACTATTTTCGAGGGTTATATCCCTGCTGCTGTTGATTCACATGGTGGAAATACTGCAGAGACGGGAGGATCCGCAACGCCCTACACCATGACCATCACGCCCAAAATCTCCATCCGCATCGACTGCCCCGAGACTGCCTCCCAAACCGTATACCCCATCCTAGGAGTGGCCGCATTCCCAGACCATCTCCTGCGGGGAGCTACAACCACAACAGAGAAAGGCGCAAGCTTCACCACGCCCCACGCCCAATTCCTCGAACTCCTCCGCCTCGCCAGCAACCACACGCACTCCACCCCAACCCATCCACCAACACCAACGGCCCAAAAAAGCATCACCCTCTCCCGCACCGCCCTCCAAGAAGGCATCCACACCGCAATAACTCAACGCAACCACCCCCTACTCCTCACCCTCCTCAAACTCGACGAACACCACCACCGCACGTCCACCCCCCACCCCTACACCCTCCCGCCCTCCCACTTCCACACCGCAGCAAGCCTGCACCCCGCAGACCCAACAACCTTCCAGCTGCTCCTCCGCACAAGCGCCGAGTCCCTCCCCGCGGATGACTCGGCCATCACCCAGTGGGCTATGCATCAGGGTGGGCCGCTGGGGCGCTGGGTGTTGGACCTCATGACAGCTATGCCGCAGTTGGTGGACGCGGCGCTGGCGAATCCCGCTCGTGAGGCTGTCTTCTACATGGGGAGGGCGAATGAGGGGGTGGAGTTGGCGAGACGGTATGTGAGGGAGGTTGTGGGGGTGGGGGGGTTGGAAAGTTGGATGGGGGAGGGGGAGGTTGATCTGGAGTAGTTTTCTCTTTCTTTTGGTATCGTATTGGGACGGCCTTGGACTGGCTATAGACTGGCCATTTTGGGATCTGGTTTCTTGAGTGGGTGTTGCTTTGGCTATCTGCCCGTTGTTATATACCCCTGTTGCGGATCTTTCTTATTTATTCTACTGTGTTGAGAATGTCAGAATTACATGTTCGAATAAGCTCAATTGAATGAATATTTTATATAATATAACTCTATAGTCATTATTGTAGACACATCATACTATACATACACGGTAGCCGTAGCCACCACCAACAAATTAAACAATAATACAACAAGCAAGTAAAATAAGACAAAAGAAGAAGAAGAAGATCTACATATTGCTCAACAACCGCACAACCCCCCTCACCCACCCTCCAAACGTAATCTGATACCCCGTCTCCACAATCCCCTTACAAGTCTCCCAAGCGCCCCCACCATTCCCCTTATAATCCTCGCCCGTCGCAATAGGATAATCCAGCCGCGGCGGAATCCTCGTCGCCACCAGCTTCGGGAACCGGTCCACGCAAATCGCCTTGAGATTGCACAGGCCGCGGAGGCCCTCTTCGCCGCCGAAGCGGCCGTAGCCGGACCCTTTCACTCCGCCGAAGGGGAGCTGCACGGCGTAGTAGGTTGCGAAGTCGTTGATGGAGACCATGCCGGAGTGGATGGAGGAGACGCAGGCGGATACGTCGGGGGCGTGGTAGCCGAAGACGGAGGCGCCGAGGGCGTAGGGTGTTGAGTTGGCGATGGAGATGGCGTGCGGGACGGAGGAGGCGCGCATGAGGAGGAAGACGGGGGCGAAGGTCTCGTTTTGCGCGATCGCCATGTCGGGCGTGACGTCTGCGAGGAGGGTTGGGGTGAAGTAGTGGCCGTGTGGGTATTTGGGATGGGGGTGGCGCTTGCCGCCGTGGATGAGGCGGGCTCCGTTGTTGACGGCGTCGGCGATGAGGGATTCGAGGCGGGAGAAGCCGGCGGGGGAGATCAGGGCGCCGATGTCGGGGGCGCTGGTGTCGAGGAGGATGGAGCCGAGACGGAGGGTTGGGATGCGTGCGGAGACGATGGAGAGGAGTTTGTCGTAGATGTTGGGGAGGGCGATGATGCGCTCGACGCCGATGCAGTTTTGGCCGGCGGATTGGAACACGCCGCGCATCATCATGGATGCGATGGAGGCGACTTCGCTGACGGTGCGGGCGTCGTCGAGGATGACCGCTGGGTCTTTGCCGCCTAGTTCCACGGTGACTGGGGTGAGGGACTTGGCGGCGGACTCGCAGACCTTGTGCGCGACAGGGCGGGATCCGATGAAGGTTAGCTGGGAGATGTCCGGGTGGGAGGTCAGGACGTCGGCGACGGCGGGCAGGCAGACGACGCTCTGGACGAGGTCGCGGGAGTGGCCGCAGGCTGAAAGAGCGCCGCGGGCGACATCCAGGAAGAAGGCAGAGGACCAGGCCGTCTGCTCGGAGGGCTTCATGACGATGGCGTTGCCGGAGAACAGGGCGCTGATGATGGGCGAGATGAAGTTGTGGAAGGGGTAGTTCCACGACACGCAGGCGGAGACGACGCCCAGAGGCTCATAGGTGACCATGTTCTTCTTGTACATCATGAGGAAGTTGGTGGGGCGTCGATTGGGCGTCAGGGCTTTTTCGCCGTGGTCGATGGTCCATTTGAGTTTCTCCGCCGTGACGAGGATCTCACCAAACGATGCATCGACCTTGGTTTTGCCTGAGTCGAGACAGCAGGCGGCCGCGAGTTGGTCCTGGTGTTCCAAAACGTATCTGACGCATGAGTTAGCTGGTGACTCCCATGCAGAATTCCAACGATGCATACTTCAGCAACGTATTCAACACCTTCCTCCTCTCCGCAAAAGTCGTCCGAGCCCATTCCTCCTGTGCATTCTTCGCAGCCTGAACCGCTCGGTTGACGTCGTCCGGTGTCGCAGGTTTGATCCCCTTGCCCAGGATGCGACCATCCGCGGGGCAGTAGCTCATAATCAGCCTATCATTCCATTGCTAGATCAAAATAGTTAGACTTTTAATAACCATAAGCAGCGCAAAGCTCATGCAAAGTAGGTAGGATATGAACTCACCCCCCGAACCTGCCCCTCCAAAACGACCCTCTCCTCCCCCTGAGCATCCTCCCAGCTCCTACCCGGCCAATTGGCCCGCACCTCCGCCGGCAGCGGCACATTAAACGCGACGGCAGCTTCCTTGCGTCCTTTCAGCACGAATATATAGCCCAGGTAGACGGCGCCGAGCGAGAGGAGCGAGATGCCGGCGAGGTGTGTTTGCGCGCAGAGCGCGTCGAGGAGGGGGAGAGCGGCTGGTGGGAGGTAGGGTTTTAGGGCGTCCATTGTGCGGTGGTGGTGACTCCGGCGGGAGTCTTCTCAATTAGTTGGTATGTCTGTCACCCAGTGAAGGGGATTTGGGAGGGTTGTGCTGCTGAGAAGAAAGAGAGAAAAGGAGGGAAGGTCGGACTCGGAGAGGGAGCGGAGCGGAGGAGAGCCCGGGTGGTTCGATGTGGTCACGTGTTAGTATAAACATTCAATTTGAACCTTGTTATTAGACTCATGGCATTATTTGATTATTACTCTACTCATAATACATTTAGATACATGATGCTGGCACAAGCCGTTTAAATGGTGGTCATCCCTTGCGCTTCCCCGTCCGCTTCACCAAATGGTCAATCACACAGCCGTCGTCCCACCCTGCGGACGATTGCCCAGTGATCGCGCGACAGCGCGGACAGGCCTTACCGTGACGGATCAAAAGCTGATGAAGCGAGTACTTGAGACGGTCAGGGATGCGCACTTCTAAATGGCTGAAGGCTGTGATCTCTGTGGCCTTCGTTGGCGGCACCCAGCCGAGCCATTTACAGATACGGAAGATGTGTGTATCGACGGCAAAGCACGGCCGCTGCAGGCAGAAAAGCAGCACACATGCTGCAGTCTTTGGCCCAATACCAGGATACTTGACGAGCGCCGTCATGGCGTCCTCGGTGGGCAAATCGTGAAGGTGGTTGAGAGAGAGGAAGTTCTGGTCCGCGCAGGCAATCTCGTACAGCTTGCCGCCGGTGGATTTCTTTCCCAGGTCGCTTGTAACGTCCTCCTCGCCTTTGACGAGAATGGAGCGGCGGAGCTGGTTCTCTTCGTAGACCATGTCTAGGATTGCCTTGATGTTCTTGCTCTTCATGGCAGCGAGCCCGCCGCTTTTGATGGCTTCGAAGACGTCCTGCAGGGGCGCGCGGCGGACGGCGTCCCAGTCGACGCTGCCTTTGCCAATCCCGTGGTCTAAGAGACCGAATTTCTGGACGAGCCCGCTGAACGCAAGGGCGGAGTTGGCCCCTGTCGTGGCGCCGCTGAGGAGGGTGCGGATCAGCGCGTCCAGGACTGAGGGGACCTCGCCGCAGCCTGTCACTGTTAGGGAGGGCTCCGGGATGGTGGCGGGGGGGATGATCTCCCCGTGGACGGTAGAGAGAAGGTGATTGACTTGCTCGCATTCTTCGACAGTGGGACGGTTCCAGTCTGGGAATGGGCTGACCCCGGGAGTGAGGCCGTAGGTGTTTAATTTCTTGGATTTTTGGGCTTGCGGGGGAAAGCTGGTTGTCGTTGGATTGTCTAGACTTTCTTGCGGCTGGTCTGGCGCTTCAGCTTTTACTGCTGGGGTTTTTGATCGCGGCGTGTGATTGTTCTTGTTCTCGATCGACTGAAGCGCCGGAGTCGAGCCCAGGTTATGCGGAAGCTCATCATCATCCTTCAATATCTCCGCAGACCCCTTCGTCTTCCTCTTCTCAGCAGGAGTCGTCTTTGTCTTCTTAGCAGGAGGAGTCTTCGTCACTTTCTTCCGCCCTGCCGCGTTCTGCCGTTCTGTTTGGACAGGTTTACTCCCAGCCTTCAGACTCCCTCGTCCAGACTTTCGTTTGGAGATAGCCCCGTCACTCGTAATCTCAGGCTTGACATCCCGCAGTCCAGCTGCAGGCAACGCCGCCTGTCGGGCAGATGAACGTGTGACGCGGCGTTCCATTCGTTAATTAGTGGATTGGTTGATTGATCGGTTCATATATGCAAATAATGGAAATAGTAATAACTAGTGAGATGATGAATGATGGATAGCGAGGCGGAGACTGAAGTAGGCGACTGACTGTTCCAAGGAACGACAAACTCTAACGATAACTCTTAACAGTGGTAGAAGAACCCATCTGTTTTTTACTGCTTAAGCATTTGGAGCATGCTTGAAGTTCAGGCTCAGGAACGGTGATGGACGATGGATTAGGGGATAATATGAGGTGAAGCTGTCGATGGTGCGAGAGAAAAGATGCATGGCGACGTCACATGACGGTGGCGACCAACATGACTGATCATCAATCATTAAATTGAATTGAATTGGAGGGGAAAAGAAAAGAAAAAAATAGAGATTCCGAGGGAAAAAAAAAATTCATTTCTTTTATATTCTATAAGTCGTGATCCATTCTCGGCTATGCATAAAAAACAGATCAAAGAACCACCCTAATAGATAGACCCCAGGTCTTTCTTGTCTATCACCTATAGACTCCCAAAAACGCCTGCTAACCAAGGTGCCAAAATCAATGGATAGGTATCAATCAATAAAGAGATTACTCGTGATCCGCAATGTTGTGGATGCTGATGTCCATGCGATCCTTGACCTTGGGTGGCTCCTCAGGCTCACAATGGGAAGTGCTATTGTAGCCGACGGAGGGCACTTGCGATTCGCCCGGGTTGGCGGCGGGGATGACGTTGCCGCGGGAGTCCAGCTTGACGCCGTTGGCGGCGATCTGGAAGTCCTTCTCGCTAGCGAACCCGTGCGTGACGGCCTCCTTAGCATTGTCGAGCGCCTTGATTTTGCGGCCCTCGCCGCGAATCTGCTCCAGGTGCTCAAAGTAGCCCTTGGACACCGGGGTGACGTAGTTGCCGCAGAACACGCCAACTTCGAAGTCATGCGGCTCCGACTGGCCGTTCTCCTGGGCGATCTCCGCGCAGGCGCCCTTCAGGTCATCCAGGGTTTGGTAGATGACGTTGTCGGCGCCGATGTGCTCGGCGATGGACTCGACGCTGCGGTTGTGGGCCACCAGCTCGGTGGGCGATGCCAGGTCGATACCGTAGATGTGCGCGTGTCTGCAAGACGTGTCAGCTGATATTATTCAGGACGAGAGTGGGGGGATGACTTACGTGATCTCCGGCGAGCAGCTCGCAAAGTAGACCTTCTTCGCGCCGGCCTCCCGAGCCATGGAGACGATCTCGCGACTGGTGGTGCCGCGCACGATACTGTCGTCCACGAGCAGGACATTTCGGTCCTTGAACTCGGCTTGCATGGCGTTGAGCTTGCGACGGACGCCGCGCTGGCGGGTCTTCTGCTCGGGCATGATGAAGGTGCGGAAGACGTAGCGGTTCTTGACGAAGCCCTGGCAGTAGGGCTTGTCGAGGTACCGGGCGACGGCGGCGGCGGACGTGGTGGAGGTCTCCGGGATGGGGATCACCACGTCGATATCCTTCACGACGTCGGGGCCCAGCACGTTGAGGATGCGGGCGGCCAGACGGTCGCCCATGCGCTGCCGGCTGCGGTAGACGCTGATACCGTCGATGACGGTATCCGGGCGGGCAAAGTAGACGTACTCGAAGATATCCGGCGTGTAGGCCTTCTTCGGGGCGACCTGCCGGAAGACGGGCTCGCGGCCCTTGGGCAGGATGACGGCCTCGCCGGGCTGGACGTCCCGGATGTTGGTGAAACCGAGCTGCTGCAAAGCGACGGATTCCGAGGCCATCATGTAGTCCGTGCCCTCACCTTCCAGGGCGCGCCGGGAGCCGAGGACGAGGGGACGGATGCCGTACGAGTCACGGAAGCCCAACAGACCAAAGCCTAAAAGAGGTTAGTGGCTGATCCCACCTTCCGACCGCGATTCGCGTTACTCACCCGCCAGCATGGCCGTGCAGGCCCAGCCACCCTCACAGCGCTCGTACATGCGGGTCAGACTGGAGAAGAGATCCTCGCAGTTGACACGGGCCTTCTTGGTCTCGCTGAGCTCATCAGCAAAGATGTTCAGCATGAGCTCACTGTCACTGTCGGTGTTGATGTGACGGTGAGCCTCGAGATCCAAGTGTCTCTTCAACTCGGGGGCATTGATCAGGTTGCCGTTGTGCGCGAGACAGATCCCGTACGGGCTGTTGACATAGAATGGTTGAGCCTCGGCGTTGGCGCTGCTCCCGGCCGTCGGGTACCGGAGATGGCCGATACCCATGGAGCCGGGAAGATCGGCGACGCGGGCACCATCGTTGAAGACCTTGGCGGCCATGCCGTTGGACTTCAGCTGGTAGATGCGACCCCCGGCGGCACACGTAGCAATTCCCGCAGCATCTTGACCGCGATCTAGTTATCATTCCGTTAGTGAGATGGTCGAGGAAGGGTGTATTTTTTTTTGTAGACGCACGTTGAAGGAGGTAGAGGGCTTCATGCAGATCGACGGCGGCGGAGGACGAGGGATTCGCCTGAATCAAAGCGATGATTCCACACATCGTGACAGGTCTGTTTTATTCTAGCGATTCCAATCTCGTTGTCAGCACGTTATCCACCAAACGAATTGGATACAATGGCAAGTGAAACACGTTTAGTCAGATCGGAAAATGTCCGCAAAATGCTTAGGAAGTCTAACATCTATAAAAAAAACCGAAATTCATCATAAAAATACAGCCTCGGCGAGGCTGTATGATATAAAACACAGATAAAACAAAAAAAAAAAGTCAAATATCACAACTTACATGTATTTGAGCACACCGAGAAATCAGTGTGGGATGGTGGGGGAGGGGGGAAGGCAGAAGCCAAGAAAAAAATTACAAAATTAAGAATAAAAGGATAAAAGGATCGAGGAAGAAGGAATGAGATAGGATAGTGGCTTCATGCAACACTATTGAACTATCTCGACATAACCTCTGAGAGAGCGAGCGAGAAGGAGAGATGTTGGTAGGAGTAGTTCACACCCACGAAGGGATCGGAGGAAACGGACACATGGTCGAAGGAAGAAAGAGAAGAAGAAGAAGAAAAAGGAGCAGGAATGGCGGAGAAGAGAAGAAACGAGCAAATCCGGTGGTCAACCAGGATTTTCTTCCCCACTGCGAACCGAGAGAAAAAAAAGACGAAAAAGAGGAAAAGGAAGAAAATGGAGGAAAATCGATGGAAAATTTCCGATATGCTGAGTAAGGGGTTAGTCATGCATCCACGGTCCGATTGTATAGACCTTGACGGTCATTCGGGTCTTCTGGAGTCAATGATGGTGATGAGATGGATTTGACACGGGTGGATAGGTAGATATTTCGATCTGAGAGAAGGCCATGTGTTGGTATTATCACTTATTCATCTAGGCTTTGGAGTAGAATTGTAGTGTGCTCTACATCCTGCGTAACAGTGATCCGATCAGTCTCTCCAAGAATATATAACAGATCAAATATAGACTGCTAGTGTGGATTCCACCTTCTGCCTTTCTCTCTGTCTGTCTGTCTGTCTATCTACTTGTTAGATCTGATAGGTTCTGTCTACGACCTGTTGGCTGTGAGGGTCATGTGGGTCACCGACAAACAAGCCCTATCTCTACATACATCAACCAAAGATGAAGAAGAGTAAAGAAGAAAAAGAAAGAAAGAAAGAAAGAAAAAAGAAAAGAAAAGAAAGAAACATATCCATTACTTACCATTCAACTATCTAATCATCAGATCTAGACCTCTCCAATGGACTCTGTATCAGACATGATATAGAAACAGGGCAAACAGTCACTATATGTGATCAACAAAGTCTTCATTATCTGAGTCTGGGGATATTGACTTCAAGACTACACAAACCACTGCTCTTTATTCGACGTTTGACACACCTCTGGTCAAACAGTCAGTCTTTATTCACTATCACCTCACTGATCACAACAACTCTCATTCACTGTCTTACTTACCATTCTCACTTACTCTACCAACTACTCATGTTCCAACTGCTACAATACCGCCACTCACCTTCATGGTCCGTCATAACCTAGACAGATAAAATCCTCCTTATGGTTGACCTGCTTCCATCCTACCTACTTCCATCTAACCTACTTCCATCTTACCTACTTCCATCTTACCTACTTCCATCTAACCTACTCTCATCTTACCGACTTACCTACTATCCATCGCACGACCTCCTACACTCTTCCTACACCACCATCAGTCTCAAGACCACCATCTTCAGCACCATGACGGACGACGTGGAGATCCCCTCCAACGGCAACCGCCGTCGCTCGTTAACCACCACTAGTACCGACAGCAGCGACAGCAGCTGCACCCTAGATAGCGTCACCATCGACAACGACCCTGACCGCTTCTACTGCATCGATTTGACCGGCGCAGTCGATCAGTGGGACGAGACCACCGCCCGGCCCGCCGACATCATCGACCTCACCAACGACGCGGAAATCAACGACGGTGATTACCTGACTGATGGCAGCTTCCAGCGCCTGCTTGAACGCTGGACACTAGAAGCGGAGCCCGAGATCCCGGTCCCGCCCCAGAGACACGCCACGCATGAACTCTGCAACGACGGCATCATCTACCGCGAGGGCCAGTCGGTCGAGCTGCAGGATGGAACTTTTCTTCGCATCACAACCACTCTAGAAGAGGACGCTTCAGGGGCGAAGTACCTCCTCGGCCGTAGGCTCATCCGCAGCACCGCCCACAAGGGCACGTACATCCCGAAGCGGCAGGATGAATTGGTCTGGATCGCAAATGAGATGGCGGATGTCGCGCTGGATGATGTCAAGCGGTTCGTGCGCATTCATTTCACCAACAATTGCCACATGGACCAGGACTGCCAAAAAGCCCCCGGGGCACTGCTCTGCCGTCTCAAGGAGATCCCCGAGGATGAAAACGACGTGTCGGTGGAGTATCTGTCCTTCGACGAGGCGGACGAGGAATACCGCATTGACCCGGCGACACTGCGGCAGGCCTGGCGGGGCCACACCGAGCCGTTTGGGAGCGCCCATTCCCCCACCCCCGCCACGACCCCTCCGCCCCGCGACCCCGTGCCACGCAACCCCGTGATCGTGATCGACCTGTCCCCCGTCGTGATCGACCTTGATGCGGAGGACCCCAAGCCCGAGGCTCGGAAGAACCGGCAGTATACCTTTGGAGACGGGTTCTGTGGCGCAGGAGGCGTGTCGTGCGGGGCCCGCCAGGCAGGTCTGCAGGTGAAGTGGGCGTTTGACATCTCGCGGCCGGCGATCACCACGTACGGGCTGAATTTCGAGACTGCCGAGTGTGAACAGAGTGACGTCTTCAGCTTCTTGACCAACGGGTATGAGTTTCTGAAGGTGGATGTGAGCCACGGCTCCCCACCGTGCCAGACGTTTTCTGCCGCCCACACGATCGAGTGCGAGACCGACGACGCCAACTCGGCTTGTATTTTCTCCTGCGCAGACTTGATCCGCCGGTGTCGCCCACGGGTGCACACGATGGAGGAGACGAGTGGGCTGTTCGAGCGGCACCGCGACACGTTCTACCGCATCATCCAGGATTTCGTGGAGGTGGGGTATTCCGTGCACTGGAAGGTGCTGAACTGTATGGACTACGGGGTGCCGCAGTCTCGACGCCGACTGATCATTCTTGCTTCAGGGTATGTTCTCTTTCTTTCTTTCTTTCTTTCTTTCTTCCCCTTGCTGCCGCCTCTCACTGACACACTGAATGCAGACCCGGAGAGACCCTCCCCCAAATCCCCGGCCCCACACACGGGCTCCCCGGCAGCGGCCTCCACCCATACACCACCATCAACCAAGTCATCGAGGCCATCCCGGCGGGGGCATCCGACCACGACGTAATCAAAGCGGAAGCGCGAATGATGCGCTGGGGTCCGCGTGCGCAGTACGACGCCAACCAGCAGGCGCGGACGATTACCACAGGGGGCGGGGACAACAACTACCACCCGTCTGGACGGCGCGGGTTCACCAACCGCGAGTTTGCGTGCCTGCAGACGTTCCCACTCGAGTATCGGTTCGGCAGACACGAAGTGCGCAAACAGATCGGCAATGCGGTGCCGCCGATGTTGGCGAAAGCGTTGTTTGGGGCTGTGGTGGAATCTTTGAGGCGGACGGATGAGGGGGAATCTTCTTAGGGGTGTTTGTTCTCTGCGTTTCGCCGCTCAAGGGCCTTGTCCGGTGTCTGTCCCTGTTGGCTGCCTCCGCGGTTACTCTGACTGCCCTATCCTCCGTTACTGTGACGACTCATCTGTTGACAATGGCGCGAGATGATCGACAGATGTTGGGGATCACGTGGGAACGGAACACATGGGTGCAAACGGGCCGCGGGATTGCGGCGGGAGCGGATGGACACCAACGGCTGGTCGTCAATCATGATTCATTTGAGTGGACTGAATTAATTGAATGGAACTGAACTGAGCAATTGAAGGCATTCGAATTCCCCGGATTCTCCCAATACCTATATTAAGTACAGGTGTCACTAAGGGTAGAATGCTCCGTCAGCCCGACCGGGGAGTCGGAGACATGGCAGCTTTCGTACCGTGAGCCGAGTGTCTTCAGGGTACTCCGGAGTGCGGACCGGGTGGGGCTCTCTGGACTCTGGAGTAATAATGAGGGAGACTGGAAACACTGGGGAATATCCGATTTCGGAACTTACGGAGGTCCTAACTATTAGGTAGGAGGCAGATGGTAGTATACGACACATACTCAATACTACGTACACTACACTACACTCTGCAATAACCGGCAATAACCGTGCGACCGCCTCCCTCGCCTCGGTTCTCTCTCTCTCTCTCTCTCTCTCTCTCTCTCTCTTCCCCCTTCTCATTCTTCTTTCTCTCCTCCTCCCTACTTGATACTTATTTCTACTCTTCCCCCCCATCTCAATTCCCTCTCCTCCTTTTCCTTTGAGTATTTCTCACCTCTTCCTCTCTCTCCTATCATGTCTGCTTCGTGTTCCGCGTTGAGACGGCTGACCCACAGGTCTCCCCGCACTTTGCTGCCCTCCCGCTCTGTCTCCTCCGTCTCCCGCTTTTCTCCTGCTTCTTCCCTCGCCCGCTCCTCCTTGACTCTCCCCCGTCAACCCACCCAGGTCTCGCGTTTCTCGACCATGTCCGCTCTGCAGTCTGCGGCCCCTGCGGCCCCCTCCAACCGGGCTTATGATCCTGAGATTAAGGATATGGCCGAGTATGTTCACAAGTACAACGTGAACTCTGATTTGGCGGTGTGTTTTCCTCCCCTCTTCCAATTGACTCAAAAATAGAGTAAAAGCGAAGACATCAAAAATAAAATAAAGAGGAAGAAAAACTAATTGATGATAGTATGACACCGCTCGTCTGGTCTTCCTCGATACCCTCGGCTGTGGTCTGGAAGCCCTCAAGTTCAAGGAGTGCGCCAAGCTGCTCGGTCCCGTCGTGGACGGCACCGTCGTCCCCAACGGTACCCGCGTCCCTGGTACCCCCTACCAGCTGGACCCCGTCAACGGTGCCTTCAACATCGGTGCCATGATCCGCTGGTTGGATTACAATGACTGCTGGCTGGCCGCCGAGTGGGGTCACCCCTCCGACAACGTCGGCGGTATCCTCGCCGTCGCCGACTGGATCTCCCGCACCAACCGCGCCGGCGGCAACGTCGGTAACGGCAAGGTCCTCCAGGTCAAGGACGTCCTCGAGGCCATGATCAAGGCCCACGAGATCCAGGGTGTCCTCGCCCTCGAGAACTCCTACAACAAGGTCGGCCTCGACCACGTCGTCCTCGTCAAGGTCGCCACCGCCGCCGTCGTCTCCAAGATGCTCGGCCTCTCCGAGAAGCAGACCGCCGACGCCATCACCCAGGCCTGGGTCGACGGCCAGAGTCTGCGCACCTACCGTCACTCCCCCAACACCATGTCCCGCAAGTCGTGGGCCGCCGGTGACGCCTGCCAGCGCGCCGTCAACCTCGTCCTCAAGGTCCAGAAGGGCGAGGGTGGTGTCCCCACCGTCCTCTCCGCCCCCGGCTGGGGCTTCTACGACGTCCTCTTCAAGGGCAAGAAGTTCCAGTTCCAGCGCCCCTACGGCAGCTACGTCATGGAGAACGTCCTCTTCAAGGTCTCCTACCCCGCCGAGTTCCACTCCCAGACCGCCATCGAGGCCGCCCAGATCATCAACAAGAAGCTGGCCGCCCTTGGCAAGTCCGCCAAGGACATCAAGGAGGTCACCAACCGGACCCACGAAGCTTGCATCCGTATCATCGACAAGCAGTTCAAGGAGATGGACAACTTTGCCGACCGTGATCACTGCGTTCAGGTATTTCCCTCTACCCCCCCTTTTCTTTCCTTTGATCTTATCCTGATTCAAAACAGTACATGGTCGCCACCATGCTCTCCTTCAACCGCCTGACCGCCAACGACTACGCCGACGGCTCCGAAGCCGCCACCTCGCCCCTGGTCGAGGACCTGCGCAAGCGCATCAAGTGCGTCGAGGACCCGCAGTACACCATCGACTACCACGAGCCCACCAAGCGCACCATCCCCAACGCGCTGACGGTCACCCTGAACGACGGCACCGTGCTGGACGAGGTCGCCGTCGAGGCGCCCCTGGGCCACCGCCTGCGCCGCGAGGAGGCCAAGCCCGAGATCCTCGACAAGTACAAGCGTCACCTGCAGGCTCACTTCGACCAGGGCCGCATCGCCGAGCTCCTCAAGGTCGGTCTGGACCAGTCGGCCCTGGAGGCCATCGATGTGGACCAGTACGTCGATCTGTATGTGACCGATAAGATGGTTGCTGCTCAGTAAACAAACTAAATGTGGGAATTGGATTGGTGGATATGATGTATGTATGAATTAGGCGTTGGAGTATATGTTCAATCTAGAATGATAGTCAACGACGTATCAACCTGGACTTTGTGTAGTATCATACTTTAGTAGTGTAGTATCATAACTATTAGTAGTTATATTGTTGTGGTATAAAGTTCAAAGAGAGGAAGAGAATATATACATATATATAAATAACAGAAGCAAAAAAAGCTGTTGGTTGTATTTATCAAATGCGCACGAAGTGTTTTTCCCTTTTTCTTCTAAAAGAAAAAAAAAAGGAAAGGAAAAAAGAAAAGTTGTGAGGTCCTGCCCGGAATTGAACCGGGGCTTACGGAATCAGAATCCGACGTCATAACCACTAGACCACAGGACCTTGGTTGATGTTATGAGAAAAGTGGGTGGTTGATAACTGGATGTGCACAAGATTTTATTAGTAAGATGGATAGGGCTAGGATTGAGCTACAGGTTGAGGTGGGAGTAGGGAATTATTAGTGGGATGAACTTTAGATTATATTGCTCATCTTTTTGTACAATGTCTATGGACTATAGTTCTTAGTAAGTAGTTGATACCTAGTTAAATAGGTACAGTGTGCGTTGTGCAACTATTCCGCAGATGTAGTGGCAACTGTGAAGCTGTTTATGTTCTGCCCTGGTGCGGATATATATACTGAAATCTGTAACATCCAGTCCAGAACATCACGCCGAAGGAACAGAGTGCTGCAAGAAACACTGAGATAATAATTCGGATGTCGGCCCTCAGGAGTAGAGTCTGACATATAATACAACATTAGATGGACATATAGAGGCTATGTTAATCCAAGAGAAACTTGGAATGATCCAGATGCCTGGATTAGGGTTATTAGTTTGAGTAGTATGATAATTGATTAAGTGTATGGATGTATATATCACAGTGAGTCTTGATTAGAATTTCAAAAAATACCATCACTTCGTCATACTTTCCTTTAAACCCCTCCAGTGTACCCCTCCAGTGTACATCTCCCGCCGCCATCCTCCAGCACAGCTTTTTACTACACCCCAGTCTGCTTGATTATATATCTACCAGAAGCACACGAAAACGCAGCAAGCGGTGGACATGGCAACGGCTTACTCCGAGATTACAAAAGCTTCTGATACGAAGCCCAAAGAACATCTTTTGTATCGGATGCTATTGTGAGACGCCTTCCAACGCGTGGTTTGTGACAAGTCCTCTGTGGACTCTCCTCAGCATCCCTAGCTGAAGGGTCATACATTGACGATTGATGTTACCTTTTTGCCAGAATATCCAAGAATCTTGCCAAAGGAGTTGGGTGTCGTATCAGTATCCTTCAATTTTTAAAAGGAGACATGAAGCCTGTCGAAGAAGGTAAGTAATTGAATCCGGTCATTGTCAATACAAAGACTAATATCATGTCCATCAAGACAGCACCAGTTGCTGAAACTGAAAAGCCATATAACTATGAAGATAAATATATGCTCTTGTTGACAGTGGCCTATGTGTGGGTTCTGGGGTCGACTCGGGCCACCCAAGACATAGATTTTGTTGTCCTTCGGGGCGGAAGCCTCCGACCATTGCCGTTAAACTGCACATGGTTGACTCGCGATATTCGATCAAGACGATCAAGTTTACCCCGTGGAGATCGAGATCCTTGCACCACCAGCCTTATTCACACTGTGTTCTGCGACACTTGCCCTTATAGCACGTGCCTTCGCTTTGTAGAACAAGGCTTCTTATCTCCGGACCCGGGTGCCGGACGAACACGGGAGAATCAATTGCATCCGCTGCTAGGCGGGGTTATGGAATACTTTTGTCTTGGAGGAGCGCTCTAATGATTGAGACCTTAGAGTCACATACCGGATGGACCTTCACGCTTATGGTTACAGTTAGGTAGCAGTACTTGAGTCCTCGAGGGTTATATAGAGAACAAGAGGAACAAGTTCCAGCCTCTCGCCTGACACATAAACACAGAGAGCTCATGAGAGCGAAAGCCTGGAAGACATTGGCTTGATTGTCAACCATCAGATACGTCTAAAACATAGGACTTGATGGTGATTATTGGTGGTGGATGGATAAAAGGTGGAGGGTGGAATATGCACGTCTATTTGTACAGTCCTTATTGAGCTTTGCAGAATTGCAGATTGGATTTTTCAAGTCTTTCCCCCTATAGTCTACTTTGCAACTTGCGCTTTCCGTACTTTAGATTTTATTTAATTGCAATTGTGTTTTGGTATAATGAATATGATGAACAGCGCCCTTGAAGAGATCTACAGATTATTCAAAGCAATGAATGAGCTTGAAAGAATAAAAGAACCCAGGAGACGTAAACAACATGAATACAGCACAGAACATGACCCGGTAACGACCTTGCAAAATATCCTCTTAGGCGATATCCCCAGTTGGCTGCTCTTGCTCAACCGGCTTCGAACCAAACCCCCCCAGAGGGAAAAACAGCTCTTTAGTGTCGCGGGGGGCAGAGCATTCCTGTAACTCGTACTCTCCCCGTCGTAGCGCATCACGAATAGGCCGCTGGTGTCTTCGAAATGGCAGTGTACCGGTCTCCATTCCTGCCAACACATCGAAATGAAACTGGCGATGCTCATATCTCAGCTGTTCAACAAATGAGCTCTGTTGCTTCAAAACTGGAACATATGCATAGAGATAAGAGATCTGACAAGCTAGGCCAATCGATAATGATGCATCATTGTTAGGACACTCTAGCCAGCTTTCGATAAGTGCATCTAGCAAGCCGGGTAGTGATGGAAATGGCACTTTATATGTTGATTTATTGTTCGAAGATGTAAGGTCCACTCGTTTGTCGGCAGCTGGGCGTCGGTTAGAGAAAACTTCCAGTCGGTAGCAGGAAGAAGGATAGTTCTTGTATGGGTATCCGGAGATATCAATCGCTGTTGAGGAAGCTTCACCAAGTCCACCTCAGCATTTCCAATACGATGTGGCTTTTGCATATCAAAAGTCCATCCAGCCTGCGCAAGAACATTGGCCGCCAGATCGATATCGTTGACCAGAATATACAGGTCAAATACAGCAGTGCGAACACCATAGTGGAGCAGAGCATCCTCAAACCAGACGACGTGAGAGACTTGATGGTCAAAAAGTACTTGACAGACTCTGTATCTTGTCGTAAAACTGCATTTCCCGGGGCCAAGATGATAGTTGAGCGCGAATCCCATAATCCCACGATACTCCTGTAGAATGCAAGTGGAGACTTGATCTTGTTTCGATGTAAGATGCTGTACAAATTGATGCAGTGGACAGCCGCTGATGAGTTTGTTCTTGAATGAGAATTTGATGTAAACGCAAAAGCTGACGAAGCGTACGATGTTAGGGATTGGGATGGTTGTTAATGGTCAAAACAGCCGGGGAATCCTCTTTCTAAAGAAGGATGAGTTTATGCCATATACGCCCGCCATGCTTTGCTGTTATTGATTCACTGGCTACCTAATGGTTACCTCATTTTAGACTAAGGCTGCCTTCCTGGTTTACAGTCCTCCAAATGATCCCATCAAGGAAACCCTGCTGGCTAATCACGATCTTTGGAGTACTAGATATTTCCAACATTCACCTGTTTCTTTCACCGCGAAGTGTGTCAGATCAGGTTGGACCTGTAGACATACTTCAATCACTGTCCTTAATCACCAGTACAACTCTATCAATATGGTATCAAATCTTTTGTTGAGCTTGGTATCTTCTTCTTCTTCGTGTTTCTCCTCCTACGCTAGGTCGTAGCCTATGTTTCTACCGGTATGCAGCCCATCTACCCTGCTTTGTCTTGTATCCCATATTTTGTATCCCGTCTAACACAATCAGCACATCGCTTTGCTCCGAATTACCAAGTCCCTGAGAAAGATTGGGAAAAGTGGGTGATATATCGAACGAAAGACACAGCTGTATCTTGGATTGACAACTGAGTAACCCCATTTTCAGGGAAAAATACCATGTCATCTTCAAATCTCCATTCCCCCGAAGAGATTCGTGAAGCCGCAATCGCGGTTGGGAATGCACTTGCTCGTTGTGAAAAGTACGCTCTTGTTGGCGGCGGAGCGTGTGTGGTCCTGGGCTCTACGCGGTCAACTCAAGACGTCGACTTTGTAGTTCCTCGGGGGGGAACTTCAACAACGAGGCAGCTGCTGCGTGCTTCTTCTGACTTCGAGGTTGAACCAAGAACGAACCATACAATATACAAGACACAAAGTCCTGTATGGATCGAGATTCTCACACTGCCTCTCTTATTCCGAGAGCCCTTTAATGAAGGGAGCGAGGTGATCACGGTGGAAGACACCAAGGTCTTGAAGCCGGCCTTGCTTCCGAACGCCAAGTGCGGTTTCATCGCTGGTTGACTCACAGAGGGGAGGAGAAGATCGATTTCCAGGGTATCAAGTTTCTTCTGGATTTCTGCGCTCGAAACCCAGATTATCTTCCCAAGGCCGACGAAGTTCCTAGAGCAACAAAGCAGCTGGTTCACAGTCTGACCCAGCTTTATGGAGGCCAAGATGCTTGGGAACGAGCTGGCTATGATCTCGAGACGGGTTTGTCCTTTCTGATACCATTGGAGATATCCCACAGCTGACGTACTCGAATTAGGACGATTCACCAGAAACTAGGATGCCACCAAGGTGAGCGACATTTTCCGATGTAGACAAACCTTCAGATGTCCGGATTCATCAGAGGGATAGCCACATGTCATTTTTCGTTTTTTGCTTGGACCAATCCTGTTATCTCTAGTGCCTGTCGTTTTCCCGCTTATCAATTTCCGCGAGGTCCCCTATTTTGGAAACTGAACCCCCCAATCTGTTCTCTATGCGAGAATGATACTCTTAGAAGAGATCTTTGCGTGGAAATTCACTCAATGCAATAGTTTTTGTTTTTCTCTTTACATACGCCGAGCAAGATGTGTTCTTCTAATACTGCTCCAACACGAAACAGAAAAAACAAAAGTGCCACGACACCTAGTCGTGATATTCCAGGAATTTATATGT